GAGGCCGGGTGCAGTGGCTCATGCCTATAATCCTAGCACTTTGGGAGGCCCAGGCTGCTGGACTGCCTGAGATCAGGAGTTCAAGAACAGCCTGAGCAAGAGTGAGACCCATCTCTAAAAACAACTGGCTATTGTGGCTGGCACCGACAGTCCCAGCTTCGTGGAGGCTGAGACAAGAGAATCACTTGAGCCCAAGAGATTGAGGCTGCTGTGAGCTACCATGCCACAGTACTCTACCACAGGTGACAAGTATCACTGTCTCAAAAAAAAAAAAAAAAAAAGGCCAGGTGAGGTGGCTCACACCTGTAATCCCAGCACTCCTGGAAGCTGAGGAAGGTGGAATGCCTAAGCTCCCAGTTCAAGACCAGCCCAAGCAAGAGCAAGACTTCGTCTCTAAAAATAGTCAGGCATTGTGGTTGAAACTTTTGAGCATGGCCAAGTCTTTGACCTAGGAAACACATACAAGTCTTTGGCCATGCTCAAACTACCGCACAGCGAGAGTCCTAACAAGGGAAGAGAAAAGTATATGCCACACCTCTCGCAAGTTATCTTTGATTTGCTGTTCAGCCCGGAGAATTCCACCAATAGCAAGCTCCAAATCCCTCCGTGCATCATTACACCGCAAAAGGGTTTCTCTATTACTGGAGCCACTCTGGTCCTGTGAGGAATTCATTCTGCTCATTGTTCCTTTAAAAGAAAAAAATATATAGAAAAATAGCACCATAATTACAAACCAAAAGCCACCTTTCAATCATCCCTCAAATCATCATTCCAACCAGCTGCCATTACTAATTTCTACATATAGGATATAAATGAATACTCCCATCTTCCTTCTCATGCCCCCACTGTTCCTGCCATAAAGTTCTGTGAATGTGGTTTAATGACACTTTAATTGTGAACTGATTATTTCTGGGAAAAAAAAAAACATACTAATTGCACAGGAATCAATAGGGTATATAATCTCCAGTTATTTCCTTTTAGACAGTTTTACCAAATTGGCCAGTCAAGATATAGTACAGACAATGTAGCCAGACAGCTAGCGTCAAGATTGTATGCGACCATGGGCAGTGCCTGTGGCTCAATGAGTAGGGCGCCAGGTTTCTTAAATTTGGGGGAATCATCTGTGGACTA